ATTTATGCATGCAGCCCTTAGTTGCCCAAATCAATTTGTGACATCCATTTGTGCATTGACGTAGCCTACCTATGTTATAGTCTAAGAGCTCTATAGAATGTTCTGAAGAGTATCATAAAAGTGGAATGAATATATATAATGTATACAAAGTCTCACATTTGGTCACATTTCCCCTGCAGTGCACTTGAATTTGTGTCCCTTTAGATGTGGAGAGAACGGGTGCAGTTTGCGATCAGTGTGTCTGTACGCATGAGGTGATCACAGGATGCCAGAGGGTGCAGAGTGGAGGTTTGAGCAGCTGAGGCTGAGCTCTGTCCTGAACATACGCTGACCACACAATGGCAACTCTTCTTGTTTTTTCCAGCTAAGGAAATATACATGATGTCATGTTTTTCATATTTCCCACTTGCATTGTATTATTTTGCTTTTAAACCTGTATTATTGTTTACGCTGATGCATTTTACTGCCTAACTAAGCACTGGAAGCCCCCTTACAAATTCTGTCACCGCTATTGGTCCTCTACAAAACCAGTAGCAGAGGCATTTAGTTCATGCACACACAGAGACCTGCAGCACCAAATGTTTTTATCACAGAACAGTCTGTCCCACCTCAAGATTATAATTAAACTAATCAGTAGCTTTTGGCTGTGGAGCTCCCCTCACTCTCCTCAGCTCATTCTTATTCAAGGTGTGTCGCTTCCTTCTCAAAACCATATCGAAAAAAAGACCTCAGATATATCATTGCTTCGTGACTGGCCTGGGGAAAACCGTATAGCTCATATAAAATGCTGTGTGACTCGCCGCACATGTCCCCAATCTGCTGCCAGATGCGAATCAGAGTTCAAAGTGATGGATTTATGAGCAATGCCCAAAACAGCACAAAAGTTCACTCAGCAGCTACAAACCTACTGAACAGTAAAAGGACAACAAACAAACAAAAAAACTTTATAAGCCAAGTTCCTCAACCAAAAAAAACTTCTCACCTCTGCTAAACCACTATGAGATGCTCCGAATTTACAGTGTACTGCTACACAAAGCTAAAGTCTCGACTACCAATAAATCCACATTTTGCATAGTTTCCCTGCTCGTGACAGAAAATCTCTCATGACAGTGAACTCAACTAACTGCTGGCTTAATGGTGGGAGTGGCAGGGATGAGGAGAGGGGCTGCGGTGGAAGTCAGCTTGAGTTAAAAAGGCTGCTGTCCTACATTTCTTCAATCCACAGGCAGCTAGCTCTTCAAAATGGAACAATCACAGCGCCCCACCTGCTTCAGCATCAGACACACAAACACCCACGCACTCTCAGCGAGAAGGCGAGAGAGATCTACGCAGATATAAAATCACAGCATCTCCACACCTGAGAAATGTCAGTCAGTAAGGGTTGAACAGATTGTCAGTCTTTTTTAAACCCTTTCCTATAAGTGAAATTCCTGAAGCGACAAGCAGATGAGGTGTTCAGCATCTGAGTCAGTAACACAAAAGGAGTTTCCACTTGGGGTGGATGGGGACAAGATTGGACCCAAGGTGCACTTGGAAACATTGCAATCTCAGTAAGGCCGAGGCCTCTTTCTCAGTCCAACTGGAGCGTATATCCAATATCCACTACTGAACCATCAACCTTCTGTGCAATGCCTGTACTGGCTAGTTTTGCACTGAACTGAATGTGTCAGCTTGATGCAGCGGCAGACTGAAAGTACTTCTGAACTGACAGTTTGCATCAGCGTGAATGTTGCAGGTATGAATGGTGATGCTTTTAAGCCAACTGTGAAGCATTTACTTAAAAGAAACAGACCAAAAATGCAGACTCAGTGGAGGGATTTATACTACCCACTTTTATGACAACGTTTTAATAATGCTTTATATCCATAGATGTGAATAAATCTAGGATTCATAGCTGAAAGTATTTCAAATTCCTAAACATAGAGGCTTTGTGTCTCACTTGCACTGACGTGAGAAGCTCCCAATATGATGCTGCTGAAATTAACAATGATGTCTCAGTATGGAGACTCTGAGTTATAAGCCTGAACTATATCTGTGTGACTGCAGAAAAAATTGCCCTAAAAGTGAAAGAAAGAAAAACATGTTCTCCAGTGGTCACTTAAATATTTGCTGCACTTAGAGACAGTGCACAAGAGAGGTGAAGAAGAGAGTGTAGGCAGGGTGGAATAGGTGGAAACAAGTGTCAGGGGTGATCTGGAACAGCAAGAGCGATAGGGAAGGTTTACAAGACTTTACTGAGACCTGCTGTGATGAAAAAGAGGAGCTGGAGGTGGCAGAGTTGATGATGTTAAGGTTTTTATTGGAAGGGGTTCCGCCCTCCTCTAATGGACAAGATTAGAAATGAGTACATCATAGGGACAGGTCAGGTCTAGGGCAGTTGGAGGCAAAGTTTGAGAGACATAATATTGACATTAAATATGGAGCTTCCAGCCAGGAGGACATGAAGGCCAAAGAGAAGACTCCTGTATGTAGAGAAGGAAGACATTCGGAGTGTTGGTGAGTCAGAGGAGGATGCTGGAAATAGGATGAGATTAAGGCAGATGATCTATGATGACCCCTAAAAAAAGCAGCTGAAAGTGGAAGAATAAGAGAGTGGCTGTAGGGTCAGGTAAAATGTAATAAAAATGTCAGGTCTGCGGGGGGTAAAGAGAGGGAATGTGACTATAATATGCACCATGGAGCCAATGTGACACACAAAATAATATTGGCATCAACTCCCCAAATAAAAGTCAGAGAAGCTGACACTGTGGACTTTCAGGAGTCAGACTTGTTTTCATCCCCAAAAACGCTTCAGGCTCTGCAGCAGGTCTGATCAAAGCAAGTTTTTGGTAAATCTGTTTTGCTTGACTGTAAAAGTCATCACATATTTTAATATTCTACAGTGTCATTCATTATAGAGGAGGAAGCCAAAATTCAGCCTGGAATAAAAGGTTCCCACTACCATTAAGAGAGGCCAGGCTTTAAAAAGACAAATACCTCTTTACAGTCTCTCTCTCTTTCTCTCCAGACACACACACACACACACACACACACACACACACACACACACACACACACACACACACACACACACACACACACACACACACGTGTGTTGGGGGGTCATTGTCCTGATGAAAAATAAATGATGGTCCAAGTATATGAGACGGGATGGCATGTCGCTGCAGCATGATGTGGTAGCCATGCTGGTTCACTGTGCCTTCAATTTTGAATAAATCCCCAACAGTGTCACCAGCAAAGCACCCCCACACCCTTACACCTCCTCCTCCATGCTTCACTGTGGGAACCATGCATGTAGAGACCATCCGTTCACCTTTTCTGCGTCACACAAAGATACGCCAGGAGGAACCAAAGATCTCAAATCTGGGTTCATCAGACCAAAGCTCAGATTTCCACTGGTTTAATATCCATTCTTTGTGTTTCTTGGCCCAAACAAATCTCTTCTGCTTGTTGCTTTTCCTTAGTAGTGGTTTCTTAGTAGCTATTTGACCATAAAGGCCAAATAGATGTGTCTGCTACTGGAACTCTGTGTGACATTTATCTGGGCTCTAATCTGAGGTGCTGTTAACTTGCGATTTCTGAGGTTGGTGATGAATTAATCCTTAGCAGCAGAGGTGACTCCTTAGCCCCTTTTCCATTAGTATCGACTCAGGTCGACTTGGCACCATTCACCACAGTTTTTAGGGTTTTCCTTTAGGTTATAGTACCTAGAACTTAGGGTGACCATATTTGATTTCCAAAAAAGAGGACACTTGGCCCAGTCATGAAGAACTTAAAGTTTTCTTTAAACAAACAGTTAAACACATTTAAACCACATCTTCTCTGTGCGGTTAATGAATGGTGAAATAAAAAATGTCATATAGGCTTTTACAAGTCAAGAAGTGCAAAAAATAAGAGGACCGTTAGTCACCCTACTAGTACCAAGAAAGTTTTTAGTACCTGCTCACCGCTGCTCGGTTCTAAGTGATATGGGCAGGTACTAAAGTGTGACATCATCAGACTGCATGCCACCGATTGGCTGATCAGTGGCATCACTCGATGAGTCATGAGAAGGTCTTGTTCACAAAAATTAAAACCCCCACTTTTTAAAACCCAGCAACAGGAGAAATGGCTACAAAAACAAAACTAAAGAGTGTCTTGGTCTTCCTTTCCTGGGCCGTCCTCATGTGAGCACATTTCAGCATAGCTCTTGATGGTTTTTTCAACTGCACTTGTGGACACAGTCAAAGTTTTAGCAATTTTCCAGGCTGACCAACCTTCACTTCTTAAAGTAATGTTGGACTGTCGTTTCTCTTTACTTAGCGGTTTGGTTCATGCCATAAAATAAATCCTACAATTGTCAAATAGGGCTGTGAGCTGTGTACCAACCTGACTTCTGCACAACACAGCTGATGGTCCCAACCCCATTAAGGAGGCAAGAAATTCCACAAATGAACCCTGACAAGGCACACCTGTGAAGTGAAAACCATTTCAGGTGACTACATAATGAAGCTCATTGAGAGAAGGCCGAGGGTTTCCACCACTGTCAACAAAGCAAAGGGTGGATACTTTGAGGAATCTAATATATAAATATATTTAAAGTTATTGTTATTTCCATATATCTTGTTTCATATTATCTATCTATCTATCTATCTATCTATCTATCTATCTATCTATCTATCTATCTATCTATCTATCTATCTATAAATGTAGATATTTTGTGTATTCTAAAATGCCTTTATACTTTGAATATACCCTAACCATAGCTTCTCTGTCTGGTTTGATCACTGGTTAACATATAGTTGCAGCAACATTAGCTTTTATTTGATGTGAGCTGCTTGACTGTAACTACATTCTCTGGCAACTTCTGAGAAAATCATGAACATTTGGCCCAACTTACAGCATTTGATTTTCAGCCACTCCAAAACAAACCCACAACCATAAACCCATAAACTTGTGATTTTTAAACTATGAGCTTCTGGCTAACCACTTACCAACAAGGTTCATATTTATATACCCATGACAGAGCTGGAGAGTAATTAGCATCTCACTGATGTCATGTCCACAGTATAACCACAGCATTACACATGTGCTGTTCTCCAGGCTTTCTGAAGTTTTTCAAAGTTTTTCTTTGGTTCCTTTTTCACTCGTTTTCTGTCCAGTCCTTCTACCTGACCATTTCAGAGGAATGTTTGGTTTGGTTTCTTAAGGCACCACACACTGACCTGTGGATCAGTCATGAAAAAAGATGCAATAAACTCAATGGATGAACCAGTGTTGTGTCACTCAAAGAACCAATTTTAAATAATATAATTTGGCCTTTGGCAGCACGGTAGAGCAGTGGTTAGCACTATTGCTTCGTAGCAAGAATGTCCTGGGTTCATATCCACCATCTGGCCTGGGCCTTTCTGTGTGGAGTGTGCATGCTTTTGCGTTTACGTGGGTTCTGGCTTCCTACCAAGACATGCGGTGAGCGCGGTTAGGTTAATTCTAAATTGTTTATAAGTGTGAATGGTTGGCCCTAGCGATCTGTTCAGGGTGTACCCTAGATGGGACAGGATAGATAGATAGATAGCTTTACAGGCACTTTGTTGTTATGTTGTTAACAGTCTGTCGCAAAAAACACAGTTTGTTCCAATTTGTTTAGTTGAAGGTACAAAAACTGCCAAAGACAGTTTGACAGACATAAAACTGTACTTTTACACCAACAAGGTGTTTCCCAAATCTCTGCATTGTGTCCAGTATGTCATTAAAAAAAACTTGGAGGAAACTGTACAAGTAGAAGTGACGGACATAAAAACTACGCAGATGAACAGTATCTGAAAGTCATGACTTTAAGAAAACGGCAAAATCCAGCAAAGGCCTGGATTTGCTGGACCTGCGAGATCCAGCTGACCCATCCAAGTAATCCATCTACTGTTCACTGAAGCCTCATCAGAAATGGTCACAGTGGAAGGGTGGCTGTCAAGAAACCATTCACAAGGAAGAGAAACAGGGAGAAAAGGGTGAGGTATGCCAAGTTTACAAGAACTGGACTGATATCGGTGGCAACAGGTCTGATGGAATGAAGACTACTCAGAGAAATTACAAGAAAGCTTGTCTAAGAGTTTAGACTGGGTTTAAGAATAAAGGTTGTCACACCAAATAATAACTTTCAAGCCTGTTAGAACTGTACAAGCTCTGTTTTTGCCTTCTGTACTGTGTTGCCATGCATGTTTAAATCAATAGATTTATAGCAATAAATGACTGCACCTACTTCACATTTTCCTAGCAAAATATAAAGAAATTAGGGGTGTCTCAAGACCTTTTGTACAACAATTTGTAAAATCATAAAAATTTCTATATACTATAAACGTTTCTGCAATATTAAACAATAAAAAGTATAATGTAATGCTATACAAAACTACATTTCTACAAACTGAACTCTGATTACACAATCTCATCAGATGATGGGTGCTTTTTAAAGTTCTGTATAAGTGTTAATAAGAAAGGCGACACACTTAAACACACTTAAATCATTTTATTAATCTCACGTTGTGCAAAGCCGGGTCCTTTCTATTACACTTTTCAAACATTCAAATCCAACACACTCATATATACTAGAACCTTCTTCCTACCTACTACTACAACTTTTATTGCATAAATTCTGTGCCCTTTCCCACCACAAACTTTTAGTACTGTACATTGGAAATATGGCTAGGATTGTTAGTATAATTACTTGGACACATTATGTGACAAAAATCTAAGGCACTAGAAGTCATAGATGATGGTCCGCATATTCTGCTAAAGCACACATAATTCTAGGACGATGACAAACGAGATATTCAGGAGAGGCTTTTTCTGCTCAACGAATAGATGTAACATCACATGGGAGATACAAAACGGGAGCACGGGTTTCATCTCTTCTTTCATAGCCAGAACCCAGGTGCTCATGTATGGATACTGTGTATTAAAAATGAGCCTCAACACAGTTCAGTCTGTCTCAAGATATAAAATCTGATAGGCACAGTTATGTCCTAGTGTGGCTAATCTCCAGTTGGGATCAAGATCCATGTACACGTGTACAGCAAAGCCTGAGAAGGAGCAACAGGTGGTATCCTACAGCGGAAGTCACCTCACCTGTTTGAACTTTTGAGCCATCACGGCCGATATGTTTTGATAACATCTTTGATAGGCCTCCGGCATATCGGACAGCAGGCATTAATCTGTCTTTTCAACTTGAGCCCGCAGTCGTTGCACAGGCACATGTGTCCGCAGGTGTAGATAACTGTGTCGACCTCTTGGTCAAAGCAAACTGTGCATTCTCCGTTTTTTCCTGCAGAGGGCAGTTCTGAGGCAGTGAGAGCCGGAGAGGTGGGAGGACTGAGAGGCGAGCTGGGAGCAGTCACTGGAGAAAATAGCAAGAAAACATATGTGGGTATTTTAAAAAAGAGCAGACACGGGTGCATGCAGACAGATACCTTTAGGTCATGTTGTTATAGGAAGAAAATTCCAGGTTCAGATCAGCACTACTACTGCTTTTATTCATTTGTGAATGAGTTAGTTTTATGTCTACTTTTACATGCCTTTTTAATTTATGAGCCAATCTTAATCTGAGACCTAAATATTTGCTAAATTATCAATGCTTAATACAGCAGCAGAGTTTACTGGGGCTTAATCAACTGATTGTTAGTCATACATAATACAAGAACCCACACAAACCCTTATTACAGTGATCTTGAGAGGGTTTCTATATACATTGTAGCCTTGGGTATGTTGTCAACATTTGGCAACTTACCCAGAGAGGATTCAGAGGCAGAGGAGGATCTGTTGACACTGAATGCCAGGTCTGAGTCACTGTCATCTGGGCTGCTGCTCTGTGAAGTGGTGGGGGATGTAGAAGGAGGACTGGACTGCAATGTTCCTGTGTCGCAAATATAAATACACATGAACAAACTCCATATAATGTAGTGGCTTTTAAAGGTGAGCTGTGTAGCTGGTATGTTCTGGGGCAATGTGCCCTTGAAATGTTTGACAGTAACACTAGAGATTTGGGATTTATTCTGACCATGTCTAACCAGTCAGATTAGATATGCACGTGTCCTTTGTGGACTGATTTTACTTTTTCTTTTAGGAGAAAATCGGGGGATCAGAAACCGTTAAAAATGAGACTAGGAAAGAGAGGTCACAGCTCAAGGCTGAACAAGCTCACATAGACGTAAACTATTCAAATGCCTTCAAATTCCTTCAGCCTGGGAAAAAATGAATTGTAGGGGGTAGAATAGACTTTCATTATTTTAGTACTAAAGCAAAACATTTTACGGAAATATGCTCATTTGTTTTGTGTCAAAGAGATGAATATGAAGATTGATGTCACTCTTGTTCTGTACATTACATAAGCTTGTCTCCACATATACAGAACTGCATGCCACAGACAGTATCACTGTGCACAGAAGAAGGTATCACATAGTTTGTTTTTTTTTTACTCTCCCACACTCATTTTGTTTGGAGATTATAGGGCAGGAACTATAGACTTAGATTCACTTCCCTCTCTGCATGGATTTGTTCATTAGTCTGCTTGTTTCAAGAGACATGTGACTTTAAAAGTTGTTTCCTTTTTAAACTTTAAACATTGAGAGTCAGTGAAACAAGTACGGACATGCTGTTGGGGGATTAGCTGGAAATCCACTCAGGCCAAATGAATACGCTTACAAAAAAACAAAACACGGGAAATGACACATGCCCAGGCTAAAGGCGTAACCTATTTACTGAGTGGGAAAACAACAGGCAACTTCTCAGTCATGACTGAACAAGAGGAATTTTGATCACATGATATCTCAGTTATTTTTGTGCCTTCTCTTTAATGCAGTTTTTTTTAAACATAATGTAAACAAGTTTATAAAAGAATCAGACCAAAAATTCTTAGGTAAAGTAATTCAAAGCTAGAGTGTACCAAAGAGTCTTCTTGTCTTTGATTACAAGAGACGTGTCTTTTGCTAGTAGCAGCTAATATAAAACTGACAAGCTTAGCAGGTGGCTATCTGCTACACTGCACTTGTAAATGGAGTCCTTAACCATTTTTTGGAGTTGCTGTTGATGTTTTGTGACACAGTTTTAATGCAAATTCCTCACTGACAATATGCCCAGCTGTGGAGTTATTTGTGCATGTGAACAAGACTTCAAAGGTAATTATGGAGTTCCACAGGGTTGTGTGCTGGGACTACTACTTTTTATGTTATGAGTGCTTCCTTGAGGCAATATTATTAGAATATATGGTATATATTTTCTTTGCTTAATGGACGATACCTGGTTTTATTTATGTGTGACGTCAGATGACGAATCAAAGAAATTTGTTAATCAACAGGCGCATTTTAAATACGTAAAGGACTGGATGTCATGTAATTTTCTTCTCTTAGATTCAGACAAAATTAAGTCCATCTTTGTCCTTCTGCGTGCGCATTAAACAAATAAAATGACTGCTTTCATTCAAATGCACAATATCTCTAAAATTAGAAACACCGTCTCTTAGAGTGATGCTGAAAAACCTAATTCTTGCACTCATTACTTCAAGGCTGAATTGTTATATTTCATTACAAGAGAGATCATATTTCTCCGATATTGGTTTCTCTTCGCTTGCTAAACTGAGAACTGAAGTTAAAACTCATCTCCTTACATACAAAACTTTTAAAAATCAGGCCTCATCATATGTTGAAGACCTCATGATACCATTTTATCCTAATAGACCAGTTCATTCTCAGAGGGAAGGCTTATTTATGGTTCCTAGAGCTTCTAAAAGTAGAATAAGAGGCAGCATTTTCAGCTATCAGGCCCCTGTCCTGTGGTACCAGCTCCTAATTTGGACTCAGGCAACAGGCAGTTTTAAGATTAGGCTTAAAGCTTTCGTTTATAATAAAGCTTTGAGTTTGGGCTGAATCAGGTGACTCTGAATCATCCCTTAGTTATGCTGCTATAAGCTCAGGATGTTGGAGCTATTCTCCTCCACTTCCCATGTGTTTATACACCAGTGCTGTAGGTCATTAAATCTTGTCTTCTCTCTCCAAAGTGTGTTTTTAGTCCTGTCTCCCTATGCTGTCTTTTTTTTCTTTCAACTCAACCCCAACGAGGCATGGCAGATAGCTGCCACTCCCTAAGCTTGGTTCTTCCTGTTAAAAGAGAGTTTTGCCAACAGCCGACTGATTATTAGAATTCTGTCTCTAATATTGTAGGGTCTTTACCTTACAATAGTGCCTTAAGGTGACTGTTGTTAAGATCCATAGACATATGGATACCATAGACGTATACCTTGCTCACCAAGCTTGCTAATATTAGCTGATAACTTCTAACTTAAAATAATGTATTTCGTCTAACCCTGGGTACTGCTAAAGTCAGGGCTGCAAATGCATGCTGGCAAACAAACTGGTAAAGTTGTGGTGGGCAAGTCCCTACAGTCTATGGTAATGTTGTCTGAAACTGGCAGCCTCAAAGAGATGAGGAGTAAGCTACAGAGGTCTGGCAACTTCTTTCAAACTCCTTACCCTTAGATATTTATTTCATCTGCATGCTAGTAGTCCTTAGCCTTGAATGACACTGACTCAAGTGACATCAATTGAGGCACATTACGAAACACTGCAATCTGTTTTATGTAATGCAGTGATGTTACCTAAGACCTGTAACTTTTTTATTTAGTACTTTTTGTTTTTCTTTCTGGTTTTCCTTCTGATCTAATTGGACTAATTACCTTAATAAAATTCAAGGACATTGGGAATTACAGTGAAAAAGGAATAATAAATATCGGGGTTTGATTCTTGATATCGATTGTGTGCTGCTTTAAATACACGTACCAAGTATCCTGAGTCTGTTAACAGCCCCATGCAGGGTGAAAAAGGCCCACAGGACCTGAGAGGAGTCCACACAGATCAGCCTGCCACGTCCCACTCCGTTCACCCCGTGGTGCACCTCTCCACTGGGCAGCAGACTGAAGCTGAGCATGTCTCCAGAGCAAGGCATCGGGAAGACCCGGTGCACCACCCAATACTCTTTGCGGTCCAGAAGAACTTCAGGGTCTGCTGGAAGGTCCCCAGCATGTAGATTAGCTGGGTCACAGGATGTTAAACCAAATGACAACGCCCCAAAGTATGGCAGGCCCAGGTGGCCAACCTCCACGTACAAAGTCTCACCCACGTGAAAGGGCCTGTCAGTGAACACCAGAGTCCGACTGCTGTCCAGAAAATGAATGCAAGCAGCTGAACGGTCTGCAGAGAGTATTACATCAGAGCCACGGATGAGGTGAAAGTGCAAATCATTGTCCAGAGGAGAAGAGAGACCCCGGACCACCCTTGGGACAATGAATCCAGTGGAAGCAGATGAGGATGATGTGGAGGAGGAAGAGGTGGAGGAGCAGCAGGGGATGAGCTGAGTGTAGTTATTGAGCTGGAGGTTGGCCATCTTGGCAGCAGCCGCCTGGTTGTTTTCCAACTGATTGTTGCTGTAATTGGCTGAGTCGTGGCTACTCTGGGGGAGATAGGCACTCAGACGGGCCGCACTCAGGCAGCTGGATCCCACACTCTCAGCAAACGTGCTGTCTGTGGTGGAAAATATGGAAAAGCAAGTACGTGACTTGGACATAGAATTACATGATTCTTCCCAGATAAGCTCAGGTCACTTCCTTTCTTGGTGTTCCTTTTCTCTTTGTTCTAGGAATGCCTTTTCATAGTAAAACTATGACATGAAAGCAGTAAGCCCTGGGATCCTATTTGTGTTGCTGCAGACTCTTTGATGTCTTTGCAATGTGCTTTTTTAGTTGTTGGGGGTTTTTTTTGGGGTGAGGTAAGCACCCAATAATTGATCTGATTATCACATACTGTGGGAATTCTTATAGGAAAACAATGGTAACAAGGCCCTTAATACAAGTTTGACTTTTTCAGTTGTTTTCTTTCAAGCAATAAATGCTTCAAAATAAAACAACAGAAAATAATTAGATTTAAGATTTCGAAATCGTGCAATAATTGGTATTTTTTAGCTATAAAGAGAACAAACAAAAAATAATAACAAATAAATGGACCTGTTTCAGACACATTGCTCATTAATAAACAACTATGAAAAGTAGTACATTAAGGTGTTTGAGGATTTCCTGTATTTTTTAGCAGTGTAAAGCAATTCTCGCCTTGAGCATTGTGTTAAAAAAAGACAGAGAAAAAAAGACATGTTGGCATCTATGACATTTCTGCAAAAGCACTTCTGTCTATCCGTGTTGGTATTTAATGCTTATTCTTACCGTTGCTGACAGCAAGCAGCTTTGAAATAAGAAATCAAACATGACTTTCACACAGTAAGCAACAACAGTTTGCTGACATCCTTTCTGATAAATCCTCTTGACGGACACTCCAAAGAGAGCTAGACTAAGCATCTGTGCTTAGAGCCCTTCATACGCCGCTCTTGTTATGATGTTTGTTGTGCCGTTAAATAAACCTTCCCTCTCAGAACAAATAAGCTCTGTTGTTCCTGAGCTCGTGTGTCATTCAATATTTTATTTGCCTCCCTATTTCATTTCCTTTCTTTGCCATCGTGTGCTCTCTAAACGGCCGCAGTCCATGCAGAGAATCCACAGCACAGCTGAAATTGTCTGTTTTAGAGACTGATATAAACAAGTCTGCCGCTAGTAGTTCTCCTTTGACTTATGATGCATTCCTTTATTACTATTTCTAGTGATGCAGGAACAGTTGAGCACACTGGCCCCTTACCAAAGCTCCTGGGATCTGCCGACTTGACCAAACAAGGCCAGAGCTCCTGTCAGACTGAAGATAAACACACCCAGTACATATGAGAGGGAAGCGCAGGGGAAAGGGTGATGGGAATGATGGCAGAGTAAAGGGAGAATGTAATAAAGTGCAGGAAACTGATAGTAAGAAAGTTTGAAAGGAGGAGAAGAAGAGTGGTTTGAAGTGCTCAGGCTGAACCGACTACTCACTACAAACTGACTACTCCTACAAACTCATCCTGTGGTGCTGCAGGGCTTTGTAGAACTCCCAAGAAGCTGCTTGAATTTGCTGTGAATGTGTTAAAACCATAAAAATATGTCACTGCAGTTAAAGCGTTCTAGCTGACTGATGAAGCTGAGTAAAGTTATTTTCATCCTTTTCCAAAAAGTTCGCGGCTCGCCTCACTCAGCTGCAGTCCCAACAGAAAACATAAGCATTTGATTAGGGTGAGAATACAACAACATAAGAAGATGCTTACCAAGCAGTGTGACCTCCTGAGTGATGCCGTAGATATCTATGATGGCCCACAGTGGACAGCCGATGCTGAGTCCACAGTGAAAGAGGATGGGCTCGCCTTCGTTGATGCTATAGAAAACTCTTCCATGGCGATCAGCCCAGAAAGCCAAAATGTTGTCCTTCAGCGCCAGTCTCTCGGGCAGAGCCTTGGCCCAGTAACCGGGCCGAGTCACCAGGTCTGGGCAAGCATACTTGGGGATATCAGCAGCAGCTAATTCACTGGGATCCAAGCTAGTAAAACCAAAACGTAAAGCTCCACTCCATCCAGTGTGCACACCAGTCAAGCGAAGACGCACCTGAATGACACAGTGAAACAACCTTTTACTTTGATTCTTTAAATGAATACCTCCTTAAAAAGTCTCAAAACTAATTAAGGAAAGTAAACAAACCTTTTCATAAAGGTGCACAGGCCGATGGCTGAAAGTGATGCCGTTGCAGAAACTGTTCTTACGGGTGGCACGCCGAAGCTGCCCATCCAGCCTGATGTTCTTGCCTTTAGCATGTGGGTGAAAGCGAGGTGACTCCATGTTGATACTGACTGGGGGAGCAGACGTTCTTCTCTCAACAGCTGCCCCATTGTTAGGCAGGGTGTAGTACTGCCGAGTAGCCACCGGGCGGGGTTGCAGAGTTGTATCTACTAGTAGAGAAAAGAGGTACAATAGAGAAAAAAGGCAATAAAGAGCCTGCTAATAATATGTATATAGCTGGTTTAGAGGTCAGAGGTAAGCCCAAAGTTGCATACTTTATTCCCCATAATAAGTTTTTAAAAACTCTGCTCTTCCCAACAAGGAGTTTCTTTTAGCATGTAGTCCATATTTACAGTATAAAAAGGCAAACTGTCCCAAATCAGTCATCTCACCACATCCGTAAGGGGTATTTATATCTCAAAATGAAATACTGTAAATTTAGTCAAAACCATGTCCACGACACCGGGAAACATAAAAAGTAGTGGGCTTGGCTAAAAGTAACATAAACACACACACACACA